AAAAATAAAAAAAATACCGGACACATTTTTTACTAAAAACCGTCGTCCCTAAAATCGAGAAAATGTACCGGAGTTCCTATTCAGAAACCCAGTAGGAGTTCCTCCAGCACGCGCTTGTTGCCCACCGCCGGGCTTTCGTTGATTGGTGGATTCTCAGGGAATGCATTTGTGTGACCCTTAGGAAACGCCACACACGTCCCACTTTTGAAAACGCTAACATTTACCCCTTAACGAGGCGAAAAAAAGGAAGCAAAAGATAGAGAAAGCGAAAGAGAAAGCCAAAACAGAAAGGTGAAGGCCTGGGTTAGCGTTAGCGTTTCCCAAAGGGAACCTGTGTGGCGTTTCAAGGACGTGTGTGAAGTCCTTGACGTCGTCCTCGACGACGTCCTAGACGCCGTACTTGGCGTCGAAGTCGTCCTCGACGTCCTTCTAGACGCCGTCCTTTACGTTGTCCTTGATATCTGCACGGCAAAGCAGATGCTTCGTCACGTAAAGGCCCGTTCACACCTTTGCTTTCCGAGCGACCACTAAGCTTACGAGCGAATGCAACCGCTGCGACTTCACAACCACCGTGACGACAACTGTACGCGACGTGTACACCAGGGTGTAAGATAGACAGGTGGGGAAACGAGAGCCAAATGAGCGACCGGATTGTGTCCCCTTCGGTTTTCTCTTTTTCTGTGGCGCCATCTATGTGGAGCACCGCGAACTCTCACTCCGGGTGGGCGACCGGTGGCGACCGGCTAAACTGACGGAGATAATTTCTCGTGGATTTTCAATAAAGGAATGTCGTCCTCTCGGTTTATTTTGCGCACTTTCCCATAAATTTCCACGCAAATTCGATTCCAATTTTTTTCCTCTCGCCGCAGCGCCATCTGTCGCAAATCGGGGGTACCCGCAAGCAGACGAGCACACAATCCGGTCACGGCGCTGCGGTAGGCTTCTATGGGCCGTTTCCCCACCTGTCTCTCTTACACCTTAAACCGTACGTGAAATTTGACATATTTTAGCGAATCGTGAGACTGGCGCAACCGTGTAAATGATGATGATGATAGTGTTTAACGGTGGCGCCATCTTCTAGTAAACATGTGAAACATTCTGCAACGTGTAAGTCTGTGGCGGCTCGTGTTTCCGGTGTACGCCTGATGTAAACAAGACGGCCGACGTAACATTGGCCGGTCGGAATTTCAAGAACTGCGAAGCTAGATAGAGTAAAAAGTGTCTGAACGAGCATAAAGGTATGTGGTGTGTCTCCGTCACCTTGAACTTGAACGATCGTTCACGCTGTGTGCCATCGAACCAAATCATTTCATCTGCTCGCGGTCGCCACGGCATGCAAATATTTACTAGCATGAGCAGTTTACAGCATTCGCGATCGCTTACCGTTGTGAGCAGTCTTCGTAATGATTTGGTTCAGACTCTCGAATGAAGCAGAGTAACAGGATGGAAAATCGCCTCCCGCTGTCCTAAGCCTCGCTCGACTGGGTCGGCGAAGTCAGTCGCCGAACCGACCGCCATATTTTTTTTCACGCGAGTCGTGAACGGTTGCTGGCTGCGTTGCGGTGACGACTCCAGCGGCCGGAATGGGAGAGACGAACGAGAAGAGCCTCCCAACGCCCCGAACGACTCGCGCGCGCATACGCAGTGGCGTCGCCGATGCGTTCGAGGGCGAACCGTTCGCGTGGAAACGACCTGCTAAAACTCCCTATTAACACTTGCACGTGGTTTAGGTTGCCTTATTGATGTTTTTTAGCCGATCTGGAGCGCGAGCGCAGCGCTTCCATTTGTCCGTCGGCTGCGCGTCAAGTCGGCGCCTTTCACACCTCGAATTCTACAACAGGAGAACACACACTCAATTTCCTTTGGTCTGTGGGGTTTAGGGGTTTAGCGATTAAAGACAACAAGGGACAACTCCAAGGGCGGAAAAGGCACAATTAGAAGTTTATTGCTAATATAAATCCACCGCGCATGAAAAGATCCGAAAGATAAACTAAAACATCAAACGAAAAGAAATTAACACAATAGACATAGTATTCGCATTGCTTGGGATCCCTAAATGTTATACGCTTCCAAATGTGTCTTTCTTTTTTCTGTGGTTGTGGAGACGAACTTCCTCATGACTTGCACAAGATCGACCGCAGCAGTTCTCTCTTGGTGAACATGAAGGAGAATGAGATGAGTAAGTCGGGACTGGGACATCGTCGACCGGAGGCGCCGGAGGCCGCTGAATGATCTCTCCGAAGTCGTTCAAATAGGCGGATCAGAATCAGCATCAGGCTAAAATATGAAGCGTGAATCCCCAGGCGCTCTTTGAATCCTTCTGAAGACGGTGTCGACCGCAGGCGCCGGTGTCGACCGGAGGCACCTACTGAAGACGGTGTCGACCGGAGGCGCCGGAGGCCGCTGAATGACCTCTCCGAAATCGCTAAAATAGGCTGATTAGCATCAGGCTAAAACATGAAGCGTGAATCCCCAGGCGCTCTTTGAATCCTTCTGAAAACGGTGCTTTCCCTTTCGCTGAGACGACGAGGATTTGCTCTAGCCTCAGGAGCATGTCGGAACCATCCTGTGTGAACCGTCGTTGCACTTCATTGATGAGCCGGTCATGAACTGCATAAGAACCTTGTCGAACTTTCTGGTCGAGGTGAAGCTTTGCCGGAGACGAAACAACACCGAAATCTTCCCTCTCCTTCTTGACATCGCAGCGTTGGGGACGCAGAATCTATCGCCAAGGTCGCCCAGCCTCGGTCAAACTTGTCTCGTTTTTGAACCAAGTCCCAAGTTAACAATAGGGAGTTTTAGTGGACCGTAATTCCCCCTCCGCTAAGCCACTCCGCTACCCGGAACCCTACAGCGAAGGCCATCGGCTTGCAGGCGCAGTGGCGGTTTCTTCGTTGCGAAAGGCTTAGTAAAGGGGGAAGCACGGTATACTAAAACTTCCTAATGACTAATGGCGTTGTTTGCGTGCTTTCCATGGAGTGGGAAGTTGGAGCTCATGTTTTGGGAGAGCTCGGCAGCAACGAGAAAGCATAAGGAAGCTCTGTTTTTATTTTCTCCTGTTCAGTGGACCTCTCAACCGCTATATCGGTGAAAATATTAATCGCAATCAAAGCTTAAATAAAATAATTGGAAGGTCAATCGGTTAATTGCCCAGCCCTACTTTATAAAAAAAAGTACATTCTCGACAGCTTTTCATTTCGGAAAACAAACTTCTGATTGTTCTAACTAAACTGCAACATTTACAGACTTCGCTGTTGCTTTTATCAAGGCAAGGGGTGAAAGGTAAATAATAATGATTTCCACGTGCCGACTTTCATTGCATCCAACTCTGACTGCAGTAAACAATATGAAATGTGACATGCCAGCAATCATGCCCAGGGGCTGACGCAGGTGAATAAGTCTGTCGGGACATTTAATCGAACACCATTCCTTCAAAAGTTGTTCCACGAAGCGGCGTTGAACTGAACGCGACTTCATCGCAAGAAAAGAGGAGAGGAAAGGGGGGGGGGGGGGGGGGGCATTTGAGCTCAAACAATCATATTACCCTACTGAGGGCAGAACATAAGCAAGGTAAAGAAATCACGAAAAGACAAATATTAGTAGTTATCAGCTGCCCTCAAACATATTACATTAAACGAGATGATAAACATCATTTACTTGTAGCAAGCAGGTTCCAAGACAGCTGGGTCGACGGGATGACCGAGACGTCGGAAGCGAGAAGTTGACACCGTTGTTGGAAGGCGACTCGGGATGGAAGCGGGATATAGAAGCAGTACTTCAGGAGAGCCTGTCTCAAAATAGACACTAATTAATTAGATGTCTACAGTGGCAACGTCAACATCACAGAGCACATATCGAATGAGCTCGTTGCGCCTTTTTACGATGATCTCGCAGCAGAACTTCTGCGAAAATATGAACTTTTTGAGACTCCAGATGGCCCTGGGGTGCTGCCATTTTTAGGCCTTTGTACTCTACTTTCAACGAAAAAAACAAACAAAAAACAGCTTCGCCTTTTGTTTAGATACAATTTCGCAGTGCAAACGCTTACGAGCATAATTCCCAATCTGCTCACCATGTGGTACCGCCAGACAGTCTCAAAATCGCCGGTCTTTTAGCTTTCCGCAGTTGCAGACAAGTATATCCATGCGCCAAGGAAGCGTGATCCCCGATGCCGTCAAGATTCGGGAGAAGTGCGCGCTGACCTTGTCGGAGGGATAAACGCAATCATCGGGTCCGCCAGCAAGTCGAGACCAAGTTGGTTTCTTCAACGGTCCTTTGCACAGACTCTCCAGATGATGCGGAGCCGCTAGGATAATCCATAACTTGTTGGGAATTTCCTCCTCCGATGGAAACTCAAGCCGCCTCTTTTCGGATTATTTGCTTAGGCGGCACGAGCTGACAGAGCAAATTCCAAATAGTTCCCGGCCAAATCCCTTGGGCGCGGCCGGCCAGTGTATGCCTTGCCCAGTGGCGCGGCTGTTTCAGGGGGGGGGGGGGGGGGCAAAACACATGCCTTGCCCCCCCCCCCCCCCCCTCTGGGACCTGGGGGGGCAAGCGCCCCCCTTGCCCCCCCGGTTGGTACGCCCATGAACCCAGCCAACCCAGCTACGCTTACAAACATGGCGGACGGTTTCCTGCCCGACGCGAGGTCCACCGTCCTCACCGGAGCAGTCACGAAGATCTGCTGTGCGCCTACAATAGCTGTGTAAAGGACATCTGAAACGAACCCGTTATCCACGACTGCGTCCGTTGCGACCGGAGTGACCGCTCTGCCTTGAGCTAGCTGAGCACAGCTGGCAGCGGCGCGAGCAAGGCCACGAGGGGAACGTGATGGTGCTCGAGCCATCTTACTGTGAACCAATGTTTCGGCCACACCACGGGTGCGTGTCGCCATCTATTGGTTGAACTAACGCCTTGTTCAAGATGGCTGCCGTGGGACCGCAGCCTTAAATGTCTGGGTCAACACCACAACGATCGACTTTCAGAAACAACAAGCCATGGGAATAATTTTAATTGTCTACGCTCTCGGGATAAAATTGTGGTGACCGTTAAAATATGACGTCCGCTTCCACGAGGTACAAGTTTCGTGTAAGCATGCCCGCGTATCCCAAGCTTCCATGCTATGTCAGCGATGTGCTTGTGGTTATCTAAGACAGGCGTGGTTATGACCAGATGAGCACGTTCTGGAGGTATCCCTTGCTGACGTGCTTCGGGTCCAGATTTACGGGGCAAAAATCCGGAAAAGCCGACGATGATTGAAAGCCCAAGATGTCCAATGGAGCGCGATTCATTTTGGATAACCTGAAGAAGAAAGAGATACAAGTAGTGAGGTAAAAGATGACACATGGTACAAGGCACCTTTTTTTTGATATTATAATGAATCGAAACAAACACACACGAACACACACATAAAAAAATAAAACAGTCCGGTAGTACCGCGCCGCTCGCTGGTAAGAAATATTAAATAGGAAGCGGAAAGTGGTTAGAGCGATACATGACTTGCTGGTTTAGAGCAGTACTATCGCGGACAATATGAGCTGAAACAGCGCTCCGGCCGGCGCACGGTACTACCTGCGCCGCCTGTCGCCTTGCTCCGCACACATGGAGCACCCTGAGTCCGAGATATTTTCTCACTTGCGCTCGCTGCGCCACTGCGCTCTTCCGGCTGTCTGCAAGCGAGACGGTGGGTGCGACAGCGGGCATGTGTGGTAGGGCGGCAGGGGGAACAAAAGATTACACTTGTCGTCCCTCCTTTGGAATTGATTTACTTTACTCTATCGCGCAAAATCCCGTAGAAAAAACGCTGACTGGTAAAGATAAAATATTGAAGTGTCTTAAATTTCAACTGCGATTACCTTTTTTGAAAGTCATATCAAAAGACGTTGCAGGTTGTTTTTGCATGATTATAGGTGCATGCACAAAGTGGGACATCGTAAAATATAGGCCGAAATCTGTATGCCGGATTTAGTCCGGCTCCAAGGTTTTTTTTTTTTTTTCTGTTTCACTGATCACAGATGTTCAAAATACGGTAAGCATACATGTTACTGAGAAGGTTTTGTAACATTTTTTTTTTATTACTGGGCCCACGTTCAAGCAAAACAAGTTGCTAACAAGACACCAGTTCTTTGTTTACGAATTCTTAGTCTAATAAGGTGGGACAAACAGTCATATATTTGCCAGGAGAAGGAGATTGAAATTTAATCGAAAGAATATTTGCAGAGGACAATCTCAGACACAAACGATTAATAGTCGGCGTGGAAGTTCAACCGCACTATACGAGAAGATCGGGATGAAGGAGGCACACCTCAAAAGTATGCGCTGGTTAAAGGCGTCAAGCAGTGTGTCGCAACCGTAGCATCAAGCTTTGTTCCAATCGGCAGGAGTCCAGTTCAGGGGGTCCTGAGGCGCAGTAAAACTTGCAAAATAATTTAATACCGCGTCCTTCTCCCCTGACCCGAAACCACGGCTCTCATCCTGTCTGGTAAGAGATCATAGAGCGCGGCCACGAAGTCTGGCTCAGCCCCGAAGCCACTCCCATTCACCTCCCATTGCTTTCCACAATTTGTAGGCAGTGGCGCGGTGGAGGGGACGCCGTGGCATGGCTATCTTGATGCGCCTCTAAATGTTTTCGATGATATTCAGATCGGCTCCTTTTAGGGGCCAAGGCAGCTTCGTCAGGCAGCGCACCTAGAGGAGATACGAGCGTGACAGCGCATTTTACACTTCGGTGCTTTCTTGAAATGCACTGAAATGCATGTTAGCTGAAAACGTAAACATTGGGCTACACGGCACACGCATCGTGATGGTGGTTCCGTCGACCAATATTTTCGCTAGCAGACGGCCGGAAGAGCGCAGCGGCGCAATGAGCGCAAGTGAGAATTTATCTCGGCCTCAGGGTGCGCCGTGTTTACGGGGCGATGCGACAGGCGGCGCAGGTAGTACCGTGTACAGGCCGGAGCGCTGTTTCAGCTCATATTGTCCGCGATAGTACATTACTTGCACTACTTACGGGGAGTCGAGTACTTGAGAAGAGTGGGACGCGGGCTTAAAGCCCGCGTCCCACTAGAGCGACAGACAGAGACAAAAGACAGCGACAAGCCTCAAACCCATGCAGCATGCTCGTGATGGTATCTTTGGCAGGCGTTTAGTCGTTCGGTGCTCGCGAAATAAGCACGAGCGATTGCAAGCCTGCAAAAGATACCCTCGCGTGCATGATGCTCGTGTTTGAGCATAGCCTCCGTCAGTCTAAAAAGCGTCTCAAATCGCGAAAGACTCTGGTTTGAGGCTTGTCTTTGTCTTTTGTTCCTCTATGTCGCTCTAGTGGGACACGGGTATTAGGGTCTAGCTTTGTCCGGCATCCGTGCTCGCATCGATTGCACTGCCCCCAAAATCAACCCACTTAAAAAAAAGAAGAAAAAAAAGTACGGGCGTACGTGTTTTTTTTTTTTTTTTTTTTAGGTGGGCCGATTCCGGGGTTCGAACTCAGGACCGCTTGCTACACTCCAACATTGCATGTAGCCGCTCAACGTCTATACAGAAGAAGGCGCTGCGGTCAAATGCGTATATAATCACGTTAAACTTTGCATGCATTGGCTCAACGTTTTTAAACGAGAGGGCGCTGCGGTCAACTGCATATATAACCACGATCCATACCACACATTCTCTTTCTGACATGGACCGTTGACTTAAGCGGTGGAGATGCCTTCCCACGGCTTCTAGCGGATCCAAGCTAGACCGCTAGAAGAACCACTGGCTCTGCATTTCACCGACCATAAAGCAGTAATAATGAAGTCGAAACGCAACCCGGAACTCAGCACTACCTGTGAGCAATAACCCGGAACTCAGCACTACCTGTGAGCAATAACCATCAGCACTACCTATGAACAATAAAATCAGTATCATCAGCGCACCACCAGAGCTTCGCCCCAATCAACATCATTCACCACGTAGAGATGCGGCCACTTTTTTGTTTTGTTTTCACCACAGCTCGCGCCTGTAACCACCACCGCAAAAAAAAGAAAAAAAGAAAAAAAAAAACATTAACAATGATTTTAAAAACATGCGTTAAAAAGCTAGGCATTATTAACGACACAAACTATTGGAGGGTGGCTACTGTTTCAGAAAAATGACACATTCAGATTAACGAGAAAGTAACTTCTTACTTTAGAGCTATGTATGTAAAGCGTTCCTTTGATTCTCAGTAACGAGTAACATACTTAGTTCCTTTTAAGCGAGTAACGAATAATAGTATTTAATTACTTTTTTCCAGTAACTTGTACATGTCTTTACTGTCCGGACATGGGTGATTTGAGTAAAAATTTTTCTCCCTCTGGTTCGAAGAGAGGAGGCCTGAGCGCGCAGAGCTCAATGCTTCGTGTCACTAGTTGCGTGCAATACAGGCGAAGGTAACGCCAGGCGAGGGGACATTTGCTATGTTGAGACTTAAAGAAATAAGAAAAATGTTGTGCCTCTAGTCCGCTCCCGCTTTCGCACCGCAGGCTTATACCCCTGTCAGACGGGCTAGTTTAGTGTCACTACAAGCGAGTGCACTTCGCCCTTAGTGTCATTTCTGTAGTGTGTCACACGGCTCCTTCCTGAGGAACACACATGGCTTGGAGTGAGTTTGACGAACTCACTTCGCTCGATCGAGTGCGTGGCATCAATAGGGGTGTTTCAACAGTAAAACATAACACAGAATCCAAAAGGGTGGCGTAAGTTTTATTTTATAAAGAAAAAGAAATTCGTGAAAGAGAGGACATGTAGAAGAGTGGCATTGCAAAAAAAAAAAAAATAGATTGATGGACTTGGAGTTTAGGCTGATCTGAACCAAGATTAGCGCAGCGCGAATCGATAAAAGACGACGACAAAGTCAGTCATTCAACGGCTATCTTGGTTAGCAGAGAATGATGGAGCGTGCTTTTGTTTCAGCATGTAACTCTTCGAGACAACAGGATAATTATGATCTAATTAGGCAGTTTCAGGGCCTCCTCGTAGACTTCCATAAAACGAAGCGAAATGCCAAAGCTGGATCTGCTCCGTTCATTATCTTGGCTGGCGATGATCGATCAGAATCATCCAATTGGCGTAAAAATCGTTCATTAATGTAACGTTGTTTTAGAGCACAGCTCCTAGGAACCCGTTTCTGAGTTGAGCGGCGTCGGCGTAACCGCGCGTTGCATTAAAGGCTGTTTCCGAAAATGACGTCACGTGTGACGTCACGAGCGTAAAATGTTCCCGCTAAATTTTGCTGTAAAAGATGTTGCTACGTTTGGTGGAAAATTGTTATGCTAAATTTAGGGGGAAAATTTTACCCGTGTGACGTCACGTGACGTCACACTTAAAATCTCAGGTGACGTGTCATGTGACGTCACACGTCAATTCAGCGGGAAAATTTCCCGGCTTAATTTAGCGGGAAATTTAGCGAAAGTTTTACGCTTAGTGGGATGGGAACAGGAGAGAAGGTTGGGAGGGTGCGGAGGGGAAGCAGCTGCATACCCTCCCCTTCGTACCCTTCCCTCCTCCTCAAGAGCTGCGCTCCATTGTGGCATTACAGAGAATTGTAAACTGCATTTTCTTTTTTTTTTTTAACGTGCCTTTATTAAGGGGTATCGGTGGCCGAGGGGGCTAGCGGCCACCAGAAGGGGCTACGTGGAGAGAAAGCTCGCGCTGGGAGAAGGAGAACCCAGTGATCCTGAGCTCAATCCCCAGCCCTGCCCGAAGAACACACTTCCAATGAAGTGAGTTCGCGGAGCACACTACGCTCGCTCCGGTAGACCAAGTGTGTAATCTCGATAGCAGTGTTCAAGGAGTAAAAATAATAGAGGAAATTAACGCTGCGTAAAATTAGTATTATTTTTATAGGAGTAATATTAGATGCGCATTTGTTTTCTGTTGGCAGGAAAGTAGTGCATTGTAGAAAAAACAAGCGGCTAAACTAGTTTCCAGCCTTGGCCCCTGCGCGACGGCCAGCGACGGCCAGGAGGCACCTATACAAGACTTCACCAGGAATCTGAACGTGGCAGGAGAGACGCGAAAGGCTTGCTTGAAATGGAACTCGCCCAAATGGGGCAAAGTGTCTCCGAACCACCGTTCGTTCCTCTGGAAAGTCCGCCGTTTTCGATTGATCACGGGTAGGCTGTCAATCATGAGAGCGGCTATGATGAAGGCATTAACCTGCGGCTGCTGATCGATGTCACTTGAAATTCTTGCCTGTGCGTCGGCATCCAGATCCAGCTGCCTCTCATCTGAAAGGCGTCGGGCTCTCACGGAGAAAAGTAACCCAACCACGCGCTTCCACTGTCCAACATCGCGGATATCGCCCTCCAGCTCGTCCTCCACACACTCCATGATGTCTCGTTGTGGCGAGTGGCGACTGGCCGAGTGGGCTCGCGCACACTAGCTCGGAGCACGCGGAGCGAAAGCTCGCGCTGCAGAGCCCAGGAATCCTGGATTTAATTCGTACCCCCGCTCGTTTCGATCTGGATGAGCATCGTACCGGCGTGCGGACGTGTATCACTGGCTTGTAATGGCTAATCGTAATTATCAATTAAGATTTAAATTTGGATTAAAGCTCGTGACTTAGCGCAACAATGTGTGGTAACGTGTTTCTAATAAGACGACAAAGTTATTTATGAAAAAATGCGTATGCACTCTGACATTTTGCGTGCCCATTACTTACCCATCGTCATTGCCATCATTTTGGAGTGACACTAAGTTTTTCCGTGTCGCACCAACACACTTGGAGTGTGTTTCGACCGGTTGAAGTGCACTCGCTTGTAGTGACACTAAACTAGCCCGTCTGACAGGGGTATTAAAGCCCATTTAAAGTAAAATGAACTGGATCCTTGGATCAAGTGGAAATTTCTTGGAAATGCCAACTGAAAAAGCACTAGGAAGACTGGGAAGGAGGAGAGAAACTTCCTTTCCTCTCAAACGTTCCTAGTCCTCTCCCTTTCTGCCCTTGCCCTCCACTGCCCTCCTCTCCCGTCCCGCCTTCCTGTTGCTCGCCCTTTCCTTCTCTTCGCTTGGCGTTCCCTCCGCCTGCACTGCACACAACTAGTGACATGGAGTATAACCGGCGGCGAGTGCACACGGTCCCGTACCTTTGACTCTAGTGGCGTCAATAGTTGTGACCGAGTGTACTATTCTCCATCTCACAAACATTTGCTGCGCTGATAAAGGCGCAAGGGCGTGCGGCTTTGGAAAGCGGCTTTTATGCGGGAGTTCTCGCTCAAACAAAGCTTGCCACTGAGCTCGACTGTGCCTTTGTCTACACTGCAGATGCTTGTGAGAAGAAGTATAAAAAAGAAGGCAAACAACAAACACATAACACATCTCGTCTGCCCTACCTATGTATTTTACACGCGTTAATTAAGGGCATATTCACCGAGCGCCTATCTGCAAAATGTTTTGTCTGCCCCCCAATAGCTCGAGGGAGAAAAAAAAGGACTTTTTAAAGCCACGCGCTGGCGTTCGCTCTCTGAACGTATTTATCGTGAACCAACACAGCATAAACACAAGCCCATTGAGGAAGTGGGAAGTTTTACGTGACAGGCAGCTTCCACGGAACGTTATTATCGGAGGATCTACGCCTACGCGGTTGGCAAAAAAAAAAAATAGCTAAATACAATTAGCGATTCGGTAATCGTGCAACCCCGATAGTTAAACGGCCATGAGGGATGGAGAGGCCAAACAACGAAGACGAAGAGCCATATACTGGCTCGGCTAACTATTTTGTAATGGGACGTGCGATATACGCATGCTGCCGGTACGTACAAGTTTCCGCAAATGTCGTCTAGGAACTTGAGGTATTGAGGCCTCAGGTTGTGAGGCTCCAAGATGGCCTGCAAAAAATAAACGAACGAGGAAACACCGTACGCTTTAATGTTACCCATCAGAAATTAATCCTATTTTTCCTCCTATTATACGCCAACACGCGGCCCTGATGTCACGCCTTGCGGTGCCGCTGTTATCCACACGGCGCGTGCGCAGGTTTCTATGCACGTATAGTGCGTAGAAACCTGGTGTGGGCAAACGCGGACTTGTTCGTAAACAGCGTTTCTGCATATAACATGGCAGGCACGTAGCCAGGGGGGAGGGGGGGGGGGGGCATGGGGCCCGGCCCCCCCCCCCACGAAATCTTCCATTTTGCTGGGACCTCCTCCTCCTCCTCCTCCTCCTCCTCCTCCTCCTCCTCCTCCTCCTCCTCCTCTTCCCCCCCCCCCCCTCCCCCCGAAACAAAATCCTGGCTACGTGCCTGCAACATGGCATTGTTCGTGCTCACCTACTGCGAGCTCCTCTCGCAAATTTCTCTTCGCCTGGATGAGACTAACTCACTAAGCTACGCTTCAAAGGAGCCACAGATCAGCCACCTTTTAAATCATGGTTACCAGTTATCTATGAAACTAATTTATCTGAAATCGCAGCAATTCGGTTTTCGTCCTTCCGATTTCGTGAAAACGGTCCGCGACAGAGCGAGTTTCCTGGCACTGTATCTATAGAGCTAGGGAGGTCGCTTTTTTGTTTTGTTTTATCGTAATGTTGGTTAGTTGCGCTTGTTCTGCACTAACCAGCAAAATGGCGGAGCTCACAAGAAAATGGGGAAATAGGCCGCCGATTAAGCGTAGTTTGTTTAGTAGCTCTACTCGGATGTGCGAATATAATCTCACCTCTCGCTCGGTTTATTACTAACTGGAATTTTCTCACAGACGATATTGCTACCGAATGTGATGTAACAATAATAATAAAAAAACAATATGTACGGCTTTGCTTTTATATTTTTTTATGTCTGGTTTTGTTTGTTATTACCCGTCAGCGATACTCATCTACGTGTATCGTTAATTAGCGTATATTATGTTTGTGTTTTTCTTCGCAAGGGGGTATTGATTAATTTATTCGACTACATGTTTGTTGGTGCGGATTTACACCCCTTAGTTCGTATTCAGGGCATTCTGATTTTTTTTTTTTCCCACACCTGCTCATGTAAGAGATTCATTGTGCGTGTCTTTGAGAAAAATGGTCTTAAACTCGATTTCAGTGTACTATATCTTCTCAAGAATGTTTTGCAAGTCAAGAACAGGACGACAGACATCACAGCTACGATATGCATCACCAACTTTCTCGAACATCAGCGCCTTGCGGCGGATGTCCAACAACAACTGAACAACAACAAACATCGCAATGTTCCCCGAAAATATTTTAGATGACAGTCATAACATAACAATAAGCAGCATTAAATATTTTTCGCGCGTATAGTTCTTTTATTTCACGGCTCCATAGTTCCTTTGCATTGAATACTATAGACCACATTCACAAAAAATGATAAATTTCTACCTTTCTTGACGAGAGATCAGAATGTTCCCGTGGTCTGTAATAGACCGCTCTCACTAAGCGTTCCCCGCATGCGTGACATCGCAATAACTGTAGTTCACAGAAGACAGGTGCCAGTGCACGAGACGGCTCGTGTCCTCTCATGCGTTGCTCGCGCACACCATGAGCGGGGCTGTCGCGCGTGCAGAAAGAGTTCCCATAATGCATGCCGGCAGCGGTGGAGCAACGAAACTGTCTAGTAAGATCGGTCTATTCCTCGAGTGTTATAGAACGCAAATCAATTAAAATCTTGATATTTCCTTGAAGTCTATTTTTGATTCCACGGAATGTCCCAGAAAGTTGGTCATGAACGTAACAAGAAACAAAACCGGAATTGTGGAACAGGAGATAATCTAGGGGCAAAATTCAAAGCGAATGCCCGTTTTTGTTTAGTTGAAAGAATTTTCTTTATTGGCTTGTTACATCACTTAGATCTTCTCCTTTCAGAATAGAGATTTTAAAGCGCACTTTGCACTGTAGTGTACTATTGGCACTAGAATTTATGCCTACGTAAAAAGGATACTCACGGCATAAAGCATAATCCCCGTGCAGAGCGAGTAAAGAAACACCGGAGCGTTGCTGAACTTCGGAACCAAGTTTTCGTCCGCGCTCTTCAAATACGCCAACTAGAAAAATACGAAAAGGTTTCTCACAGGTGCAAACACGAGTTTCAGTTTCATGGCGTCACTCCAGGGTCCCTAATCCGGACACATGGCGAAAAAGTCGGCGAGAAATCTGGCGGCTATGATTGGCCGGCGCCAAGGTCAAGTGCGGCGTTGGCCAATCAGGGCCGTCAGATTTCTCGCCGACTTCTTCGCCAAGTGTCCAGATTAGGGCCCCACAACCGAAATACACAAATGTAAAATTAAACGCCCCTCTTTGCGTCCCGGCGTTCCGCACACGGAAACGAGATCTTTGAGCGCTCATGTTGACAGAGAACTCCGTGAGGTTTTAAATACAAACACCTTTCATTTTGCCGCTGTTCGTTCAATGACCGTCACTGCATGATGCCGGGGCAAATCCTCTTGTGCCCTCTAACCCCCACGGATGCTGGGCTCAATTCCCGCCTCTGCTCGTTTCGATGGGGATGGATATCGTCCCGGCAAAGCGAACGTGTATCAATATACTGCGTGATGCACGCTCAATAACACAGGTAGGCAGTTGTACCGCACAGCTCCGCTTCTAATCTACCGCGTGAACCACTGCGTGGCCATACTAGCCTCACACTAGTTAAGCCTATACCTTTATTTATGATTTTATTTGACCAACTGCGGTTCGTAACATCATGGCCACGCGCAATTCAGAGTAAAACAGAAGGAACGACAGGGCCCTGTGGGCGGCCATAGGTCGGCATGCGGTCAAGGCATATAGTCAATAAAACCCTCGTAGCGTCCACCGCGCTACGTACAAGTCACGGAACGTTGACCAGCGCACCAAAAGATAGCACGGTATAAGCACCTCGATGAGCTTCCAGAGGAGGTAGAGGGAGGCGTTGGAGTTTGGTGCTGCAACGGCCGCCAAACCAGCTGCACTGCCAGCCACTAAGCCATGCCAGTCCCGCTGGCCATTGCTTGCCCAGCGGAGTGAGCAGCTCAGCAGCTAGAAAAAGAAGTCGACATAGTATATAATCATTATCATTGAAATAATATAAAATTCCCAATTATATTCACCGACCGCGTTAACACACAAAGGTGACATTAGTCGACTTATCGAAAGGAGCCGACGCGTGTGTCGATTCCCCTCTTACGTGTAGAGGTGCATAGTATAGCAATTCACTCAACATATGTGCGCTGATAGAACGGAGAAAGCGACGGGAAGGTATAGCATAAAACCAGTGTTGGGTAAGGTACATATAAAAAGTACTTCTAGCAAATTACAAAGTAAATATCAGGTTATGTGCTTCCGAGTAAAGCAGCAAATACACCAGGCGCAATGTACTCGAAGTAAAGTACTTCTTTTTTTTTTTTCTTTTTTTTTTTTACTTTTACTTTACAATTACCTTCTAACATAATCTTTCATTGCGGAGAGAGCATGGCCAGGAGCACTAGGAGAAAGCACAACGTCAGCCCCGTAGCTTCCGCAAGCAATCCTCTCGTGGAGGAGTGTCCTCCCCTAACATTTTTAACCTCCCTGCTTGCGCTGATTGAGCGAGAAGTAGCAAGACTTCGATATGCTGCGCGAAAGCCGCCCCCTGTAGAAACGGAGTAAAGCGCGAGACACATGCGCGAAAAATCCATCCGATCCGACGTCCGATCCGGCAATGCGACTGCCTGATCCGAAAAATTTGGTCGCTTCAGACGCCGGATCGGCGATCCGACGTGCGTCCAACGCGCCAGATAGTTTCGCACGGCGGACGGATTGTCGGATGCGTCCAGCCAATGACAGCACAGCTAGAGCGAACGTCATGATGACGCACTGAGTCTGGCGGGACGAAGCGAACGGCGAGGGGAAGCCGGAAGCGTGGATCCCGCTGACCCATTCGAGAAATATGGCTTCGGCAAAGAATGCACGCGCTAACGAGAACGAGCTTCTAACTTCGCTCGTGTGAGCGAAACCGTCAATCTAGGACCAGAGATCTGTGAACGCGGACCTCCGCTGGAGTGCTTGGATCTCCTGGGCGGAGCCGAACGGATAGTCGTGTCGCATGCAAGTTCGGAAGTGTGTGTCTCAAACTGTCGCGTGTGGCGATTCGGAGCGGCGTTCGTACTGTCGGATCGGACGTCGGATCGGACGATTCTGCCGTCCATGTGTCTCGCGCTTAATGCGTCGTCTGCTCGCGTTTATGGCGAGAGTAGAACATCCCCCCCCCCCCCCCCCCCCCCAACATTTCTTCAGAGTTGACAAAGCCTCATTTTGTGATACAAACTTAACAAGACCAAATTTAAGGAATGTACTTTGAAGCCGGGAGTTGTACGTCCTTCGGAAAATAATAATAAAAAAAAAACCTTAAAGGGAAGATGGGGCACTTCTACATTTGAGAAAAAACGCTTGAATTGCTTTCATTTGACCTTTAGAATAACAGATATCAAAATTTTATTTCAATGCGACGCGCCGGGGAGCCATAAGAGTAATTTCAAAATAGTGCTGAAGCCCCGCCTCCCTAGCCTTGGGCAGCCTAAAGATCCGTCGATGACGTCACGGACAGCGACTGTCTTTTGCGTTTTTCCTCGCGCTCAACAATACTTACGCAGCAAATAGTTTGGGTATTCGGGTTCACGGGGTAAAAGTACACTAGAATTCACTTCTAACTCATTTTTTCCAAGCTGACCCCTAAAAGAAAATTAAACAGCCTTAGGGGGAGGGAGGACACGCGTGCCGAAAAATTAATTTTACGCGAAAAAAAATTTTTTTTGAGAAATATTGACGGCGCGAGATGCGATTTAGTCGGCAGTTACGTCCTTTCCACTTGTTTTCTCTCTCGGCATTTCGGGCGCGTGGAGGTGAGGTGGATCGGCTTCCCCTTCACGACCGAGATGGTCTTTTCCAGAATGACCCGTGACGTCGTGGACTTTGCGCGTAGAATTTCAAATAAATCTCTTGCAGTCAATATTGCTCTAATTTATTAATTTTTTGCGTAAAATTTATTTTTTGACACGCGTGTCCCAATTGGACTGTTTAAATTTTTTTTTTTTCTCTTCTGGGGCCCATTAAGTAAGGTACAAGCGTGCACATGCTCAGAGAATGTACTTTAAGGAAAGGACAAGTTTTCTAAACCTTCTCGAAGTAGTACTCCAAGTACAATGTACTCAAAGTACTTCCCAACACTGCACAAAACCAAGCGCAGCTTCCAGTGTTCCAAGGAAAAGGGGGTTAAAGTATGTGGAGGAAAAGAGCATCCTCAACTTCTCGGCTTTCATTCATCCTTTCAAAACTCGTTGATAGAGTTTTCAATAAAAATTGCAGACCCGAGTTATGAGTCATTGTGACTTGAATAATTTCCGTCATAGTGTTTACCCGCCGTCAACTCAGCCGCCACGTGTATGTTGATTTATTTGTAAGTAAAAGAGAATGAAGTTGTTGCGTAAGCACAACTTCATTCTCTATGAAGTTGTGCTTCATAGAGAATGAAGCACAACTACCGAAACCAAAGTTTGCTGAATGCATGTCGTTTTGTATCGCTCATCATCTCTCTACACTAGATGATAGCACGTGTTAGCATCTTTATGGCTAGAAATAAATTAATGACCCATTTTACGTCATTTGGGGGGAAAATGTTTCCTATTCAACACTCTAAAAAAAGGGGGTGTAGACGTTACACCCCTTGTCCCATATACGACACCCCAAAACGTCAGTTGGATGTACAGGGCGCTGACGTGGAATTGACTTCCCTAACTTTTGCGAGAGGGTTGATGACGGTGCGATATGACATATAAAACAGCTAAAGTACGTATCAAAGTCCACAGGAAAGAAAACGCACAGGTTTTGCAGTTGAGCCGACAAAATCCCGAAAACTTTTTTTGCAGTCAGTCACACTTACATTAACTATTTTAATGAGTTTTACAACTCGGCTATTAAACCGCTCGTGAAATTTGGTAGCGTCGGTGCAACGTCTGTGCGCTGTACATCCAACTGAAGTTTTGGGGTGTCGTATTTGTGACAAAGGGTGTAACGTTTACATCCCCTTTTTTTTTTTTCAGAGTGAAGCGATTTCGTCTAACATTAAGGCAAATGCGGTATGAGCCCCCAGCCCCCCCCCCCCCCCCCCCCCCCCCGAATCAAAATCCTGGCTACGTGCCTGAGCCGAAGAAATATTAATTGATAGAAGTGTGTTCTCTTGAATCTAGCATTCCTTTACACCCGGATAATATATTTTTTAATATAGTAAACGCTGCAAGATTTAGCTCCGAATTTCGGAGAATCGAGAATCGCACAAAAATAAACTCCGAAGTTTAGGCAAAAAATAAACTAGAAAAAACACCCTCCAAATATGGCGAAAAATAAACTCCGAAAACACGAAATATTATTTATTACCAAGACCCATTTAGACAGTCAGCCAGTTGCAATGGTGCCAGTAGCACATTTTAAGGGAATGCGTGATTCCAGACTACTAAGACGCACGAGAAGATAAACTCATCCTAGTTCGAAAGCTAACCGCTGAGGGGTGTTGTACAGTAGGCTGCAACATGCCTCTCCACATCAGTAAATAAGTCGACGAAGATTCGGAAAAAAGGTCCTTCATGGGGCTGGTCGCGTCTGCTGACCCTCTTGCGTGCACAAGTGAAATAGCCCAAATTCCTTATTTTCTTTTTCATTTATTGTCCGATATATTGCCACGGGCGTCGGCGAGCGAGCGCGTGCGTGGCCGAGTGTGCAATGAAAAGGAAAACAAAAAAAAACGTTCAGACTTTCCACTGTTGTGAAGAAGGAAGACCAGCGGAGCTGTACTCGATACACTGCCGCAACGCGCACGCGCCCGATTCCCACTTCTCCTCGTCCGACACGCCGCCGCCGGCCCGCCGATCGTGGATACGTCTCCGGCGATCCAGTGTCGGTCGCACACGGCGCAGTTGACGCCAAGCGGGTTCTCCACGAACTCCCTACGGAACCTCGCCGTCGCACCCGGGAACTGTTCAGCCGGCGTGGACTGCAGTCGTCGCCGGGCCTCGCGCTTGCACTTGGCCTCCGTGGCACGATCGTCGTCCGTGGCGTTGGCCCGCCGGCGCCCTTTACATCGCTGGTTCTGTTCTCGGCGGCGGCTTTCCAGGCGAGCGATGTGCTCTTTGGCAAGGGAATCTGAAGCGCTGGACGCATTGGAAGTCGAGGCGACAGCGGCTTTGCGGCGGTTGCGGACCCATTCGCGCTGCTGCGTATACGTCGCCGCTCCTTCAGCAGCCTGTCTCCTTTCCACGAAAGGGCGCGCGGCCGACCCATCGTGAGTCCAAACCGAAATTGATAAGGGCGTAGGAAACAGCGCGCAAAACAGACGAGGACGAAGAAACAAACGTGACGAGCGCTGCGCTCGTTACGTGGGCTTCTTCGTCGTCGTTTTTCGCACTGTTCCCTACGATGAATTCCCACCAACGCGCCCAACTATCAATTGTTGCCCAAATTGAACCACGGGAGGCAAATAACTACGCGCCATGCTTGACAAAACATCCATCTTCTGCTGTGGGGGTGCGTCTGAATCGGTTGCCCTACGTGCTTTCGAGTCACCCAGAACAGGGAGATTGAACAACGAAACCAGACCTAAAGTCGGTGACGGGTTAAGAGTTGAGAGGAAGCTCCTCCCACCTCTTTCCACTTTAGCAGAGCGAACGCTGGCGAGGAGGCCACCTGTACTCCAGTGTTCACACTGCTAAAGTGGAAAGAGGTGGGAGGAGCTTCGCCTGAAGGCTTAACCTGTAGTCCCGTGCAGGAAGATAAGCCTTTTCCAAAGTTCGCAACTGTTCATGACTGAGGATTTCCTTCTCTCCACTCACTTCCTTCACAGCGTTCGCTCTGCTAAAGTGGAAAGAGTAGATGGTTTTCTGGAAGGGGCTTATTCTGCTGATCTTACAAATGACCGTACTTGGAACCAGCCTCAAGTTTTTTTTTCTCAGTATTATGACTTAAACATCATGATTGAATTGGCGATGCAACGATTTTTGTACTTTGCGCAAATACCGCTTAGAACGAATCCCTGACGTTAATGACCTGCAAAGCACCCGTTCGTATTTCACCACACGCAATAGAAGTCGCAGAACAAAATTAAAGGAAAACGAGCAGCGTTCACCCCCTCAACTCGCAACCAGGACAAGCGGCCACTTGATCTGGAGGCAATTATATGCCGCCATTTTTGATCATAGCCAGGCGCTGGGGTTTGCAAGGCACAGGGCACGCGCTGGGTTCCAGACATTGTTATGGTTCGGCTATTGTCTTCATTGCAGCGATTGGACACGGGCCACTACCCGAATTCTTTTCGAGCTATCGATTGTCACGAGTCCAAATCGAGCGCCCACGCAGTGCTCGGGTTTAATCTATGAGCCGTATTTAAATATCGTCACTGCTGGCAGTCTTGGGCAGTAACTAGTTACTAGTAACGCGTTACCGGTATTTAGTTACTTTTCCGGTAACTTTTACCTGTAACGCGTTACTTTTTAACACTAGTAACTTGTAACTGTAGCACTGTTACTTTTTTATTGGGTAACTGTAACTGTTTAGGCCGTTACAGTTACTTTCTTTTTACTATATAAATTAGAATCCACTGCCGCGGACATGAACAAATTGCCATCTTGATGTATTTTTCTCCAAGCTCCTCGCTGATAAAAAAGAAAAGAAGAAGCGTGGTCACGGATTAAACAAGCAAGAAATCGCCTGGTTTAGCCCACGACCGAGAATGGACGAGGGACGAGTAAGCACGAAACTGAGAGATAAAGGAAGCGGCGCCTACGGTGGTAGGCGCCGCTTCGGTGAAACAGACATTGTTTGCCTACGGCCAAACAATGTTTGGCTCACTCTTCTTTCGTGGGGACCATCTCCGGGTGTCGGTGGTCGTGTGATATGTCTCAGAGTATTCCATATGTGCTGTGTCTGGGATGTGTCCGTGCTGTCTTTTTTACACCCAGCCGTTCGCCGTCTCCTCATCTCTATTAGTTCTTAAGGAAGCCGTCCCCATATTGTGGAAAAAGCCGGCGCTTGTTTAACTTATTCATTCTTTTCGGAGGCTCTCGAGTGAACACGACTACTACAGTTGGCGTTTCGGACATAGACGCCGGGGTGGTCGGTACACTCTTAAAGCACCAGAAGTTAATTGTCTTCTTTCCCCCTTTATTCTTTCGAAGCTGTTTGGCCTGCATCACGATCATCTGGTGGGCTAGTTGGTTGATCATAATGTTTAGGCCTGCTTCCCAGTATATCCCATAAGGGATATCCTCATTCGTTTCGAAGTGAAATATCAACCAAAACGTTCACTGACGCGTGCCGGTGACAATTTTGAAAAACGGTTGATTCTAGGCTATAACAATTATTGCAAATAAATTATGCACATCAAAATGCTGAAATGGCGAATGACGCAAAAAACAAAAGAAACACCCTTCGGGTTCAAATTTTTTCTAATATCTCAGTTTACCTTTCTTCTCACTCTAGTGTAACAACTAAAATATTATTGTTTTGGTTTGTGATTCCTTGAGTCCAATTTTCGTACTGTAACGAGAAAGTAACGACGTTACTGATTTTGCTGTAACTGTAACTGTAACACGTTACTTTTTTGAAACCCGTAACTGTAACTACAGAGTTACTTTTTCCCCATAGGTAACTAACACTGTTACTTTTTACTGGTAACGTGCCCATGACTGGTCACTGGGCAGTACTGCGACCGCCCAGCTACTTCATCAAATTTTGTGAACGAGAGATTGAATGACAACGATCGCTTTTGAATCAGGCGCCCTCCCTATGGAGGAGGATGTGCGAATTATGGGACTCCTTGCACCAAAAAATAGCTTTCAATATATCGTTAAAAAAAAAAAAAAAAGGTTTCGACAAATATAACAAAATACCGAAGCATTGCAGAGTATCGCGATACAAGGAATATATCGAAAATGCATTTCACTACCTAGATACGAACACATCTTTCAAAAGTAACTCGATACAGCTAGAGATACGGCTACTCAAAGTATCTCTAGATATTATTGCGATACATCCTGCCCAGTCCTGGATAGCTGCTACTGCGCATAGTAACATCCACTTCTATGCATATTACTATTTATTTACTCGATCATTTACAACACAACATTGTTATCACTGAAATATGTATGAAAAGGAACGCTCAGCGCACATGAGTCAACGTGCCTTCCTAAGACTAAATCAAGACAGGTACCGTTAAGAGTGGCGAGTTACTTTACATTTGATAATACACGCAAACCGAGTTCTACGGTGAGGAATGTAAAGCGGCGTCCCCCGCCAACCGTACAAGACACACTGCCGCCTGACCAGAGCCAAGTGCGCCCCCTCTGCCTGACGTCACGAAACGGTGCACGCGCGAGCGCACGTGAAACGGAATTTTCTGCCGAGCACAAAGCCGACGCCGCGAATACAACTGAAACGTACCTGCAACGGGGCTACTGCTGAAAAATACTATAGAAGAACCATAGATGTCACATTGTAGGAAAAGGAAAAACCGGGCAGACCTACCTTGTAGATGCCGGTGAGGCCGCCCAAGAAGCACGCGCTGCGCAACGAGGACGGGCCCAAGACGTGCGCCAGGAAAGGACGCCGTCGACCCGGTAACCGTTTCAGGTCACCGAGCAGGCTGATGCCAAAGCCTACCGCCCAACCCAGCGAGGCGAACTTGGCCATGTTCTGTACGATACAAAGCCAAATTGATTAGATGTCTGCTAGCTGTGGAAACAGAAAAGAAACTAGGGTAAGCAAATCCGTTCACCTGCGCGACAAATTCCATTAATGCTTTCGTTTTCTTTCTTTTTGTGTGTACGCGCACGACTGCTCGTTCTATATTTCGCAGATGACTACACGCAATGACCGCAATTATGTTTACTCATAAAGTCATGCCTGAATGGCCGCAAATGGAAGCTGGTGTCCTCAAATTGGCTTAAGCGGACCATGAAAGGATTTCCTTACTTTCGCCAGATATTGTTCAGTATGAATCCTTGACGTTCATATCAGAAAATCATGCATTATTTTGTCGTCGTCACGCACAAGCACGAAACAATAAGCGTTAATCTCGTTAGCGCGCAAACAGAACAAGGGGCGTGTGTTTTGTGGCCGGTCGTATGCCGTCAATATTTATCCTCCACGCGCTCGGTTGGGCAATATACGCAGGGCACCCGCTGTGCTCTGAACATTGTTAAGGCTCGGCTGGTTCCGTCGCCGCAGCGACTGGATATGAGGCATAAGCCGGATGTCCGCCAAGGCATTGATTGTAACTGAATATGATTCCTCGGGGAGCGCACGCAGGGCTCGCGTGTTCAATCAATGAGCCGCATTCGACTATCGTCAGCCTGATATGATTCCTGTGACTATGACAACATCGTGGTCTCCACAACTACGCCAGCAAGCTTCGTCAAGGTATAGGGTGCTTTCATGTGCAAAGCGCACATGAAGGTTCCCTAGTCAAGGAGAGACTGAATAAAAATAATTCAATCATCTTTTCAAAAAAAAAAAAAAAAGAACAGAAAAAAAGTTTTCTGTGTTGAAAAAGCTTCTGGACCAGTATAGCTCTTCGTGCGAGCATGCTTCTTTCACACTTGTGTTTGTATTCTTCTAATAAAGAACTTAACATTGGAACTCAATATTTCGCAATGGTTTCTTCAGCATTTAATTCAATAGTATACAATTTTGTAATCCCTTCACTTTAAATGGGCAGACCATGGTAGCCGATCAATAGCGCGACCACTTAACGCGGCTGTCTCTTACCCGACAAAACTGAGCCAGGCAGCCGAACGGATGTTGACAACTGAGATGGCGAGAAGTGAGGACCCTGACCGCAAGACAGCGTTGTGAAGACAATGTTGGAAGCTGTTCATTAGTAAAGCATTTTTCGTTAGCGTTGACGTCTCTGTTCCCATCGACGTGAACGATCCTTTTGGCATGACTGGTCTCTTTAGAACTTCTTGTATCGAAGCCGTCGACGATTCCGCTTCCGTTCACACGAGCAGTTCCGTTGACGGGGCTGGTTGCGTTACAACGGGGATCCTTGCCGTCCTCAATTCCGTTGGCCTGGCAACCACCGTTTACCAGGAGACTAGCGTGTTTGGTTTTCTTGCTCTCAGTGCCGTGTAGTTCTTCCGCTCCAAAGAGGTGCCTAAAAGGAGAGAACCTTCTCTGATTCCAGAAGTCTCACAATGCGCCAACAAATCAAGTATAGGCAGCTTTAGGCTATTCCGGAAGCAGCACTGTATATACCTAAACTCATAGGTTCCCAAACTGAATTCATACGAGCACAGTGGCTCCCCAGAGTACCCTCAGGGTTTTGTCAAGCTCACAAATTGGTACGTAACTATATGAGCCATAGCTAATATCTGCCTTACTGTTAACGGGCTCTGCAGGCTTCTGCACTGTTTTATTGCATCACTGCTGAGACGGAAAGGTTGTTCTTGACTGGCATTAAAGGCAGGCAGGGGTTCCTCGAGGTCGAGAAGTATGGAAACCCCTGACTTAACTTGTAGTGAATCTTCAGTTCGCATTTCACGATAAATATTTGTTTATGGTAGCTTCTCTTAGATGATGACCACCAACCATACAGAGTGTTTCTCTTTAAGCTTACCACATTTCTTTAGGAAAAGCCGTGAAATCTACTAATGCGATTTGTGCAGATTAGTTATATGGCCAGGGGGACATAGCAATTGGGGTTAATCGTAACGATCAGTCGGCTAATAACTAAAATACGTTAACGTTTTCATTGCTGAAAATGAACGTGCAGTTCTAATTAGAAACTTCGAGCGCCGTCGACTAAGTCGGTTAATATTTGGAGCCCGTGGGAAGCACGGTGGAGCGCTCAAATTACGACTCGTGCAGCAGGATCGAGGCTATTGGTGCACCTGCGAGGTTTTTCCGTCTGTTGCCATCCGGGTTTTCTGATCCCAGCCTTGTGCCTGCTGCACGAGTGGTTACTTTGGCGGACCACATCGCTTTCCACTCGCCCAAGATCTTTCTAAAACTGATTGATTTTGTGATTTTCGATGACGATCAGAAAGTTGCTAATTGGAACCATTTGTATATTTTCACATTTTAAATAATTAATTAACTAATTTCTGTTATTTAGCCAACTGTTGGTTAATACTAGTGGCCGTATAACTTGCCTGCACAAACCGCATTGTAGATTTCACGGAAACTCTGTATATCTCAAGGTGGGTGTTTCATAATAGCATTAACCAATAAAATGGGCCGGTGGCGAGGGAAAGGAAGGCCGTGGAGAAGGAAGCAGACAACGCTGAGAGGAGAGAGGCAAACCTCCTCCTCTCTCCAGCGCTCCGCCTGTTTTCTCCTCCCCGGCCTTCTTTTCCCTCGCACTACCTTCTTGAGTTGCAACGGACTATACAGCTAACAATGACTCGCGAATAAAATCTGCCGTAACGGCACAATCGAACTGCGAAAGGAGCAAGAGAGAATATTCGGGGTGCAAGAGTGACACGCACATCTTTCGCGTTGAAGTTTGTCTATAACACTATACAGGGGGTGAGAATTAGAAGACATGTCTTCATCATGTATTTATCAAGCAAGGTGGACATTATATGACCAAATAATTATGACGGTAAGTTGACTAATTAGCTAAAATATCTTAACTTCTGTAATAAGTGGTTTTAGAGTTATTGTTGAAATCGCAGTATTGACGGCAACTACTAATACAAGCCAAACCAATTAAAAAAAAAAACTTGCGAAAAGGTTGCTTTTTTTAAATATTATTCGATCAATTTTCGCGTTTTTTTCCCCTGCTCGATTTAGCAATTGCGCGCAAAAAGTGCGCATCAAGCCCCGGCCACAACGACAACAACATCGACGCTTGGAAGAGTGACGTAGTCGTTTAGGTCACGTCATCACTTGCGTCGTCGGCGCATCCACCAAAGACACGCTGCCGAAATAGTGACGACATGATTGATACGACGGCGTCACTCTTCCAGGCGTCAGTGCGCACGTTCGATTTACCGTCACCTCCTGCACCGTTGCAGAAAGGTGTATGGAAACTTTTTAGATACAAAAAAAAAAAAAAAAAAGATACAACCAGAAATTTCTGGTTTTATCTAAATTCTAGAGTCACTAAATAAGCTTTGTTTAGTGACACTAGTTGTATCTCAATTAAGGATGCCGAGAACCTCCCGAAGTTCGGGTTGGAAAGGTTCGAAACTTTCGATTCTCGCAAGGTTCGCATTTGAAAAGTTCGCAACTTTAGTACCCCGCTGAAGTTCGAATTCGAATAATTCGACAATGCTACGGTTTTTGGAAGTTTGAGTTTGATCATATCGAATTTTTTTTACAGATAGCTCGAAATAATCGAACATTTCGAATTTATTTAAAATTCAAGTTAAAAAAATCGAATATTTCGGATTTTTTTTAGGTCCTAGGTCAAAAAGGTCTAAAGTTTCGATTTTAAGTTCAGAGTCTGAATTTCACGGATGAAAATCAAATTCCGCAGTTTCAAACTAAGTTTTCATGAATCGACATGATTTCATGTCGATCATCTGAACAGATCGCGAAATGTGCAACAAAGTTTACCAAAAACGTTGTCCAGGCTATTATTAACATACACCAGCTCATTGGCGCCCCCACGTTTTATTCGTTGATACTCCTTCCTTCTCGGTGCTGTGATACTGACGGTACTCTCTGCATTACTCGTTATTTGTCGTAACTTACGAAACAAGCGTTGAACTGGTTGAACGGTTCCTCGAAAGGCCTTGGGGCGGGAAGGTGAATGTACTTCCTAGTTATTTCCCTAACTAGTAGCAGTCCGATCAAACGTCGCCTAAATGTAATACTGGCATAAGACGGCTAAATATGCAGGACAACTCATTCACACAAAGGCATTCAGGCTTCCCGAAAATTTTTTAGTTGCTCTGGGTGTTTTTTTGGGGGGCAGGATGACCCGAGAAAACACTGAACAGAGGCACACCACCCGACACAAGTCAAGGTTGAGGAGAATGCAACCAGACTAAATTAGGGGACCACTCGGCCTAATACAGCTGATCAGGTCACGACCGGTTGTTATCAATTTAACCGAATCGCCGCTGCTTGGAAGTTGAATGGAGATATTGGCTGTTGTAAAATACAGCCGGTTACTAATGATAATGGAGTAAGCGCCGATTCAGCGTTCGCTGTAGTGCATCGGCGTCGCTCTCCGCGCGCGCCTTCCCTTCAAGTGAGGAAATTAAGGGACTTGCGTTCAAAAAAGACTAATTCTATGGAGGACGCTCCCAGCGAAGCGCCCCAGCTGAATTTCAAGCCTGCAGATCAGGGATCTGTTGGCCCACAGGTTACCTCGAGGCAACCTACGGGGTTGTGCGCGGGAGAGGTTGTGTGCGGAAGTCGAAAGAAGAAGCTGTGAGGTACGAGGCCGAGGACACCCCAAAGCGATCATTCAGCGCTTTCCAAGTGTGTCGTTTGTGGCACGATCAGCTAACGGCAAAACTATGAATGAAATTTCAACTTCATTTCACACATTGACATCGTGTGTCATTTATATTCGTTGCCTCAAACCCATAGTGGTGAACTTGGTTGGAACTTTGTCGAACTTTTGTTTACAAGGGCCAAGTTCGTCGAACGTTTAAACTAAGCAGGATCGAAAGTGCGAAAATCGTCGAATTTCGTAGCGCGAAAAATTGGAAGTTGGAAAACAATCGAACTTCTCAGCACCGAAAATTCGAAAGTCGTCGATTCCTTTTTATATAATAAGTGCGACGTCTCGAAACTTTACGAACCTTCCGAACCCCTTGGTTTGATCTTGGAACCTCAGGTTCGCAAAAAGTTCACGGCATCTACTCCCAATACACATACCGGAAGTACACTGCCCTAAACTTTTCTGCCCCGGTGCTAGAAGTGCAGGTAAAATTTATCGATTAATATCTCAAAAACCATTAACTTTTCTCAAATTATTTAAATTGGTCTGGCCTCTAATAGTAGTTGCCGTCAATACATGCGATTACAACACGACCCCTAAGACCAATAATTAAAAAAAATAACGAAGAGATTATAGTTAATTAGTTATTTTACCATGACGATTATACCCTGATCTAATATCCGACGAGCCTGATGAATACATTTGAAGGTAAACTCTAACCAAAAGTTTGCTGTTTATTAAACTTTGCGTTACAGTCCCTATTTTTCGCTAACTCTCACCAGCTATTCTTTTTATTATTTTGCTCGAATTAAAATTGAGCTATATATACATGATATATGCATATTATTCAGACAAAATTAATTTTTTTTACAGTTTACCTCTTTTCGAAGTTTTTGTTTTCTTTTTTTGGTTTACTGATGGGGGTCATCTACTATTTACTATTCAATCGTGCTCTTTTCAGCAGTAACAGAATATGTACTATGACCTATTGCTTAGGTATATGTTCCTTCTTTGCATTTCTCGCATTTGTTGTTTAGCGATTATTGTGCGGTTAATATTTTGTTCCAGATGTACAACTGCTGAATTGCGACGTGCGGAGAGGACTGGTCAGGCAGAAATGCCTTTTCCTTCTGCCGGCCTTGGCCTGCAGCATCTAATAAATACAATACAACACAAGTGATTGCGACGAACTTTTGGGCTCCCATTTCTACGAGACAAGTTTCTGCAACAATCACTCGATGATGGTACAGCGGCTATATTCCGGTTGTTTAATAAAAAGGACAAAGATGCAACAATCTCGTTTCACTTGTTTTTTGTCTCTCTCAAAGCGTCCATGTTTTTTTTACAAAGCAATCTAACAAAAGTTTTTATAAAAAAAAAGAACAAGAAACAAAAAAAAAATGTACGATATTACGTACTGCTAGAGTGGCCTTGAGAGATGCATAGTGCACCGCATAATATACAATTCTAAATAAATATTCGCAGCATAATATATATATATATATATATATATATATATATTTTTTTTTTTTTTTTGTGATTCGATGGTGATGAAAGTTCGGAAGCAAACTGGTATAAGATCTGAGTGCATGCTGCTACTGTTGCGGTGTTTAGAGTGCTTGCTTAATATGATACCAGCTTTTCTCACCTGATCACGAACGTAACAGGGTCTTCGAAGTAGCCGTGTTTCCTGCAGACAATAAAGACTGATTCGTCACCACAGCACCGAAAACAAACCCGTGGAATAACAAGCCATCTGCGACTCTCACGTAACCGCTTCTGAGATGGAGCGCTTCGATTAGTCGTTTGGCGATAGTTATGTAGCCTCTGATAGCTTTAGAACGACAGGTAGGTCCTTTAGTCGACGTTCCTCTAGCACAAGCTTCGTTGCTTCAACGATGCTCTGGCGTCGCATGCCAAAGCTATGGATTCCTGTCAGAAGCCGGATAGCTGAGAGCTTCTCTCTGTCGATATTATCCCGTCAGCAACTACACGACGAGCAGAGGAACATTTAGAGTGGGCTCCTTACGCAAATGTTTGCTTGTCACAAGTCCTCTACTTTTCACGAGGAAAATGGCGTGAGGGTTCCATACCTGGCATAATAGATGTATGCTCCTAAGCTGAGCGCAAACAAGGCCACCTGTAAGTGGAAAAACACTATATAGTATATATATTGCTTTAAATTATATATTCACTAACAGGTTAACAGAAGTGACGCAAGTATAACGAATTACAGAAACGCCACACGCGCAAGCACACACATGTGCAAAGAGTAAGATTGTTCGCTCTTAATCCAGTTCAATTGCGCCATTCGAAGGAGCTGATTTCACTCACCTCGCCGTGCTGTATATCCCTCACGAGACCTCTGCTCCGAAGCATGCGATATAAAATGTCCGTTGTCTAAAGAAAATCAAGGAAGAAATGAAAACAAGATTTACATGTTTGAGACAAATTTTGGAATTAACGCATGCTATATGCGAAACGACTCACCAAGTTAAGCATGTACCCAGCCAGCATCGCTCTTCTGATCACGTGAACGGGACCGAGAATGGAAACGACGATATTTATTTATTTATTTCACAATAGTGCCAGCTCGTTAAAGAGTGAAGGCAGGAGGGGGCATTACAAGTAGGAGTATTCGCACACACAGAATAAATAATAAAGTAACTCGCATAGCGAAATGGGGAGGGGGGGGGGGGGGTAAAAAAAGGAGGCACATTTTTTCCCCCTTTTGACTATGTGAGCAATATATTAACACATCCTATATATGTGTAATATCAAAACTTTTATTAGACAATTATTAACATAAACAACGGAGTTAATATGCGAAAATTACGTATGTCGCATCTGAAAACAATCCCGGGTTTGGGCACATTTTCAATTGCAACATTTTAAAGGGAGCTCGAAGTGATTGAGTTGAAGTGTCAGGTAGTATACTATAAACTTGGCCGCTCCGGAAAGTCTTAGGTATAGTCTGGGGAAAATAAGTATAGGATTACATCGCTTACCTTCGTGGACGTTCGATGATAATGGCGCACGCCGCGGAAAAGAATCCAGACAAAAAAGTGGCCGGCAGAATGCACAGTCGGCCCAAGAGTTTGCTGCGAATAAAACGGCCACCATCACCAAGGCGTCGAGTACGTCCAGCGCATTGTGCAAAAACAGAACAAAAACAAAAGAAAAATTAGTCAATGGCCGGCACCTATCATGACCTATCTCGATTCGCTTGACATTAAAGTGCATCCCTCTCAAGCTTATCAAGGTAGGCAACGATAACCAAAGCAGGTGTTATTTTGACCGTTGCAAACAATATACCTCCTGTTTGCTTGTTTTTGTTGTTGGCTCTTTCCTTAAAGGGGTACTCCGGCGATTTTTTGAGCTAAATCAACTAACTATGTTTTCTGACTCCCCGGCCTTTACCCTTTCCGGTATGCTATTTAGTATCGCGAAATTCATAATAGTTATCGCGAAATCGGCAAATGAAAATGATGCAAAAACCAACGTTCAAATATACCCGCACTTTTCAGTGCCGTGACGTCAGTGGCGGGCAGGCTTGCCAGTCGAGGGAGCAGTCTAAACAATAGAATATGCCAATCATTTGTTCCGTGCTGGAGCGCGGGTCCTGGAGCGAGCTTCCAAAGCATTCATTTGACACCATAAAACTGCTTCGAATCAGTTGGGAACAAATTCTACAGTCCAAAGAGTGAACCCCTGCACTTCCACTGACGTCACTTTTTTGTTGTTGCCAGTAGAGGCTTTCAGTATGAAAAAACACGGTGAGGACCAGAATTGTAAATTCAATAACTTCGTGAAAAAAACTATTTTAACCTAATATTTGGGATACTAATTTAGCGGTGTTGTTTGGCGAGTTTAGCAACATTTCAAGCAAAGCGGGGACCATGAAGAAATCGTCAGAGTTAACGCGGCTTTTCTTTCTCTCACATTGTGAATGTCTTTTTTTTTTTTTTAACGAACAGGTAATTTGTAGAAGTTTTATACGTGTTTTCAGAACACCAAGGGAAGTTATGAGTTGGACACAGCATGATTTTCGTTATGCTGCATCAAATTTGGATGGTGTTAATAGAGTGTTTTAGTAGATCGTTCAGTCACTCCCGCTGTGCTATCCGCTAGCCGCTATGACCTCCGCTATATGTAGCGTAGCGGAACTACCATTTTAAGTTTTAGTAGAACGTTCGCAACCCGCTACGGATTACAACGTTACGAGAGCTAACGCAACGCCACTAGCGGCTCTTTCGGACACTAGGGCTCGCGTAAAACAGATTTGTAAAGCAATCCTTCGCAATTGTTTTTAATAACGTCGTTATCTTAATAAAATATTGTTCTTTTATTGAATAACGTGCTAATCGTTGCTTCTTTTGTAAGTAGGTGACTATTATGTTTGTAATTGAATACAACTGTCAGCCAAGCTGTCCAAGCCAATCCGATATGAGTCAAGTGCCAAAGCCACCGAGAAAACTCTTCAAAAATAAAGGACAACCACTGTAGCTCATCTGTTGCGTCGTTGTTCACCGAAAATGAAGCGCCACAGAAATCCCTCATATCCGCCTGCTCGCTCCGCTTCCTTAGTCGGTTTTGTCTTCACGACAAAGCGGCCGAGCAGGGGGCTGCACCTTTCGCTCACAGCACCAAAAACTGCGAAGCTTTTTCTTTTTCTTTTTTTTTCTCCTTTCCGTGGCCGCGTTTAGTATATCCGCCATGAATCACTACCTGTTGCAGTCGTGGAACGGCTTTGTCGCGGGTACTTCTCGCAGCAGCAAGGTATAATCCACCCCTTAGAACGACGATTGTGAAACGCACAGACCGAGTAGACGCGGCGTGGCGGCCATCTTGAACAGCGTCCCTCGCTGGGTTTCCCTTATCTCGCCAAGACTCGTTCTCGCGAGAGCCACGCTAGCACGCCGCGCTACGCCCCTCGCTATTTTGGCCCGCCAGCGCGCCTCCGCTAGCCTCCGCAGCTCCGCAATGTTTCCGCTAGCAGCGCGCATGCGCAGTAGCGTCGTCGCTCCAGCGTATAGCGTAGCGGGAGAGCCAAAACGATCTACTAAAACTCTCTAATTACTTTTGGTCTCGCATGCACCCGGACATTATCTCCGCACTCCTTAAAGGGGCCCTGCAATCATATTTAAGCGTCTACCTTTCTTGCGGTTTCCACGTCGCTTGGGGTTCGAGCAAGCCAGCGGGCACGGAGAGAGTAACTAAATATCAGTGCGTCATATTTTAACCGGACGACGCGGAAACCTCCTCCACCGACGAGGGCGACCCGCGGTACCGAAAGCGCGCAAAATGTGACGTCTTTGGTCCTGGGCTTACTACTGGTTAGAGCCGCTAAAAGCTTCTTTTTAGTCGAAATACAAAATATAACTGGCGCGAACCGTTTCAATTATTTATAAAAGTAGTTTTTGTCCAGTATTTTAGATCAAAAAAGAAACGAATGCAGTTCATAAAGTACGGAAACAAGAAATGGCCCGTCGACATACCCGCCACCAAGCGGTGGAAAAGGTGGCGCATACTAGAAAGGAGTAGTGGGATCAGGCGCCGACACGGAAAAGTCCTGGATGTACGCGGCGGCGCTGCGGTCGTATGGGCAGGAGGATCCGACCGGCTCCGAGCGTTCCGAAGGCCTTCGGCGAGAAGCTTTGTTTTGCGGTTTGGCCGTTTCGCGTATGGCAGCGCAAAGTAGCTCCCATTCTGAACTTATCTTTACCCCGTGTTTGCTGTCGTTTGTGGCCAATGAAGTGTCATGCCGAATCAGTATTTAATCGCGCAGCAAATCCAATGAGAGCCGCTCTGGCTGCCCGCTGCATACAGCCTATCCAGAACACGCTTTAATGGCGCCCTCTCGCGCCGTCGACACGGAGTGCGGCAGCCGTGAGTGCTCGATGAGCTCACTACTTCTACCCTAGTTCACGGCCACTCTCAAGCAACCAAGGACGTCATGAGGGAGGTTATTTTTTGCTTGTTTTTGTAATTTTAATTTGCCTATAACTTTTAAAATAAAGGGAATTTCGAGAAAAGAGAAGTTTCACTAAGTTACTACGTTCAGTGCGCTCAGGTTCGGTGCAAAATAAAAATTATCAAAAAAGTCAATGCTTTAACTGTGCAACGATTTTGACGTTGAAAGAATCGGCATCTTCTATTTTTGAAATTGTTCATCTTTTCACAAAGGACAGAAAACACACCTCCTTTCATCGAAATGTTGCGATTCCGCCGGCTAATCGCGAGGCAAAAATGAGAATATTCCCCGACCTGCAGCCGCGAGCGGCGGCCGTGAGAAACACGCGGCGTGACGTCAATGGGGGTCTTGTAGAAAGATAGCAAGTTGTGCGAATACCTGCTCGATAGAACGTAACTTTTCTATAAATCTTGTCGTTCCAACATAAATATAAATGCGTCAAAAACCTGGTGCCATCGAAAAATATTTTATTATACTTGAGTTTTAGTGGCGCCATCTATCCTAGGTCCATAAAACCAGCACGGGCGGCTCTAGGGAGAGACCTTCACCGGAACCCCGTGCCAACCCCATTGACGTCACAGCGCGCGTGACTCGGGAAGTGGTGAATTGAGTTGAGAGGGGCGCCGAAAACCTCAATCTTTCTTCATTTTTAAAATAAAAAGTAGGACATGCAGGCCAAAGCGTTTTTTTTTTTTTTGTTGTTCTCTATTTTAGAAAGGTCGAGACACCAACTCCCAAATTATTTAAGCAAAGCATTGAAACTGTTGCACAGCTCCTTTAAGCTGACAGTGCGGTGGGAGCTACGCGCTCGCCAGACCAATGAATGCACCCCTTTCATCACCTGAGCACACTTTCTGGGTAGGTTTGTACGAACGTCAAATGGGCGCGTTGCGCTGGACGTTAGGTGTAGCGGACGTGCAAGACGCATACGACTGGTTCAACGAGCGCGTAGCTTCCACCACACTCTCAGCTTAGGGGTAAACGGAGGATAGCCAGAGACACACGCGCGTTTAGAAGCGCCAATAATTCGGCCATTCAGCCAACCCCTGCTTTCTCGCTTATGTTGTCGAATAGAACGCGCGTCCCTGGAAAAGAGCTTTCGACTCTGGATCATGTCTGGCGTCCCGCCCAAAGTTCATTTATATGTCGTTTACGTCGCATTTATGTTCCCATGTCGGTAGGAGGTACGCCCCGACGGCCATTTTTTCGGCTCGTGAGTATACACGCTATGTGACCGCATGAGTTAGCCACATGGACCTATCAGCTGCCTAGGATCCGTCATCTCTTTGCAGGTTTCGGTTGGACCAACGCTGCGCTCTAAATAAGCCGCGACACTCCGTTTCAATGTTTTCCAATGGGCCTGGACCGCAAGCAAAAGTTGAGCTTGAACAACAGCCGCGTGCTCTGACTGTGGTCCCTGGAATACGTCTCCGATTGTTGTGTTTACTGCGCCCTCTAAAGCGGTTCCTCGATTTCCGCCTGATGAAGTCATAGAAGCGTCATGATGCTGCCTGCTGCGATCCTGGCGGTGTCACAGCAGCGGAGCTGGTAGTGGCAGTCGCCTGTTCTGTTGTAGGTCGATGTCCAGTTTGACAGACCACGGAAGCTTCGTAAGTCATGAGGTTGGGACGCAGCGACCACAGCGACACTCGCGCTCGCTCGTTCTTTTTTGTTTAAACATTTGCGGACTACCCGCTAATCATTCGAATCAGAGCTCGGCGTTCTGATCTCCCCGCGCGCTTTAGCAAGACCGCATAGAAGACAAGGCCGTAATGCTGACATTTTCGCGTCACAAGCGAAGGCCAACGCTGGACACAGATTGGAAACGAGGGCTGCGTCAGCGCTCGGCTTCGAGTTAAGTTTGAGCCGAACGTTGATGACGCAATCGTCGTGTCCAACCTGTGACCAGCGTTGGCCTCCACCGATGACGACATCTCTACCAGCACTACGGCTTTGTTATCTAGGCGGTGTTGGCTCTAGTCTCCTCCTCTCTTTTTCTCAGCGCATAGCAACATATACGAAACCCTAAGTGGAGAATTTTCTTGCGTCATTAAAGAAGGCCACCGTAGGCCACAGATTGGACAATAGTACGGCGTCAGCCTTCGGCTGGAACTGTGCCCAGTCAGTGAGAGCACGGCTCTTGTAAAAGAACGCTGAGGCCGAAGTAGCGTCGAATCTTTGGCCTACGGTAGCCTTCTTTAGTGACGCAAGAAAATTCAACACTTAGGCTTTCTTATCTAGGAAGTGTTGCGCATAAGACCCTTTCCAAGAGTTCATCAAGCAAGATCGGCGAACGCGATATATATTGGGCAGCGCTTCCTTCGCGAAGCGCGTGATTCAATCCGAGTTCACGCCGAGCGGTGGCGCATGCACTCGGGTCGAATACGTTCGGACCCGAGTACGCGCCGAGCGCTTGCCCGAAAAATGGTGATCTCGGAGGGGCTACAGAGGGGTGAAGTCTTTTTAAAATTTGAAAAGGGTTTGTTGAAGTTCAAAGATGACCATAGTACTGTTACTGACACCGGTGATGAGTTCTTGAAGCCGTCCCGCGTCTTACCTGCTGATGCAGCCGAAGACCAAGTAGAAGAAGAAGTTCTGACTGATGAACATGGAAGAGTTGACGGCGCTCTTGAAAGTCTGGACAAAAGCGCGGACGTCATAGCGACGCGACACGATCTGCCCCACCTGCGCGAAGAACAAGAAGAGGTTACCATTAGGGCCGCGAGCTCATGCGGTGGGGGAACGTAGACGCGAAGCTAAGGTGTCCGAAATGTATGTAATGATATTCAGGAGTTTTTCAAAGGTTGGCCGACTGAAGAACGCCTAAGTAGAAGAGAAGCACGCTGGTTCCAATATTAGACGTTATTGAAAGTATATAAACACGAGGGCGCGCAAAACGACACAGCTTTCGAAGACGTGTCGTTCGTTCCGTCCTTACGTTTATACTTCCAGTAACGTCTATAGAAACGCCTCTCGGCCAAGTTTACAATACAGCGTTACAAAACGTAATACACCAGTATTTCTTCGCTTCCAAAGCCTTCAACTGACCGAGCGCTGATGCCACTCAACACCCTGCGGGGGATAATTCTGCCGACAAAGTTCACTGGACGTGGACATCGACGCCGGTTTCTTTGTTATCACCAAAAGTAATGAGAGTTAAGACTAGTCGTCGAAGCCCCTTGTGTTTCTTATCGAATGTCAAGATATTATGTTCCCACAAGACATGCAGTTTTTATAGTCCGTTTTACTCTCCGCCCAACCGCAGCCGACACGAAACACGAACCGACTGAGCCAAAATTGCATCGTCATGACGCTCGTCGTATTTGCGCGTTGGCAATATACGCACGACAAATGTGCCGAGATCCTGCGCTTTTCTCTGTGCGGTTTAGCTAAAGTCCCTCGGTGCTTCTTGTTTTTACAAGTAACAACAACTAAACGAATGACGAAGCACATTTCGTAGCAACAAAATGGCGGCATTCAGTTCACTCTTCTGCTGCGCGCCGCCATTCTATTCCTAATATCTGCACCGTCACGCAGTCGGGGCTTCAAAGAATGTCGCTACTTGTATAATGTAGGAGCTTTATACTTCGTTTCAGCTTCGGTCCGAGCGCGGCCGATGTTATGAGCCGAAGGGTCAATCAAAGAGCGCAAAAAGCGCAGCGTCATGGCGTGTTCTCTGCTCTTGATAGGACTAGCCGACGGCGGGGCGCGCACAGAGAGACGGCGAATACCCGGGCTGGACCTATCAACTGCAGAGAGCACGCCATGACGTTGTGCCTCTTTCGCTGTTTGATGGCCCTTCTGCTCATAACATCGGCCACGCTCGGACCGAAGCTGAAACAAAGTACAGCAGCAAGCGCTTGTATAGGAACTTCAGGTTTAGCCGGTTGTATCAAAGGAACGAAGACGACGAGAGCCATGACGACGCACTTTTGGCGTCACCTGATTGGCCCTATCGGATCGTATACTCTCGGCTGTATGCGGTCGGACTTGATGACACACGCAGCCGACAACAGCCATGGGCGGCACCAGCAGAGTGAGAGCCCACGGTTTTAACTTGGAAAAGGTTGGACGATAAGCCCCACAATCCGTGCCGACGGCTTCGATATGCGCTACGTATACGAGGGCAACGCACACATATTGAAGAATAACGCAGCGAAAAGCCTGATACTATTTCGGAGTAAAGGCGCACTCCGGTGATGCGTAGTCACGTTCCGATTGGCCCGCCAGGGCCGTAACTTCCGCCGTAGCGGCATGTTGTGCGATCATGGCTTCCTAGCGTAAACAGTATTTCATGCTTCGTATACACTAGGGACTAGGCTAAGCGGCGCCACCAGAGTAATAGCTCACGTTCGAAAAATGCAGCGGCCGGATGGATGAATGGATGGTAATGGCTATATATACCCTTTGTAACGGGCGGCAGCTTGCGCCGCCTAGCCTAACATGTTTTTAACACAACCCCAGACATACCCAATGTTTCTTGCTTCAGTCGCTAGATAGCGCCAATTCAAACAACATTGCAGGTTGCCTTTTTTTTTTAATTACCGCTAATGAATTTTGTGTGCAACCTCGTACAGTCAATCTGAAATGCACGCGACGGTGCTGTTGTTTTAGCACATCTAAAGTCACTGGATGCGGTAAAGATAGCGCCGTTGCCTGTTCAGCCTGCTATACTTCGTCTCACCTTAGCATGGACTAGAGCCACTATATGAGCTGCGCTTAGAGTATCGGCACTCCGTTTCCCGACATTGTTGTGGGCGCCGCCATATTGGGGCTTGTGCAGAGCAGACGCAACTGCACATCGTCATGATTCAAAAGTGCGACTTCCTCAGCATTGGATTCGGTGTTAGGAAGCTGATGTAATATTGCCTTACTCTGTCGCGGTCTGTTTAAACATTTCTGGAGGACGGAAAAGCGTTTCCTGTGATTTCAGATAAAGCTTTCAGATAACTGGCCACCATGATTTTAAGCCACAATATGGCCAAGTGTCGTTACTCTGAAGCGTAGCTTATTTAGTGGCACTAGCATGGACTAACCGCGAATGCTGTGCTAGCGCGAGCGGCTAGCCTTGACTGCCTTGTCCGGAGCACTCGCTGCCCCAGCGCTCGTGCAGCCGCCGAAGCTTCATTCGAAGCAACTAGCTCGCGATTTTAGCACGCGCGGCTAACAATAGTCCGTACTAAGGTGAGACGAAGTATAGCTGCAGGACGTAAACCGATACGAACGTAGTACAGACGACCAAAAACCTCGCAAAGCGATTGACTGATCGGTATTTGTGGTTACGGTAATCGCCACATCGGTTCTTTGAAATCAATTCGAAGCTTCGAAAGGGTCGCTCTCAGCCAGGTGCGCCAATTTCGCCATATGGAGCGTCATCGTATACTGATAGAGTTTCTCGCAAATATAAGCGTCTTTGGCACATGCTATTAGAGAGTTTTAGTAGATCGTTCCGATGCCTCCGATAGCCCCGATAACAATACTATGCATGCTCAAGGGAGGCGGTGGCGGAGTATCGGGTATCGTTATCGGAGTCATGGGAACGATCTACTAAAACTCTCTATTAACTTATCGATTATGCTTATCTCCGTAGTGTGAGCGGTGGAGCGGGCGTAAAGGGGTAAAAAGGCTTTAATTTGGTAGAAAAGGGGCTGGGTTACAAGTTCGTCAACGCACGAGGCTCATGGCGGCTCTTCACGCTCCTTGCGCTGGGCTGCCCAAGGTTGTTAGACCTGGTCTCAGTGTCCGCTGTCTGGAGGTCACCTCAGCTCACATCCCACCCCACCTGCAAGTCCAAGTCCTCTTGGAACAAAAGAACAACCTAATCTTGCAGCGACAGGTCACAGTCCTGTAGTCGCTTTGGTTTTGTCCGATGACGCTGCGGTCTTTGGTTTGGAGGGTGGCCTGGGTCCTCACTTTGGGGCAAAGGCACCAAGTCAGGTTCAGCTTCAAGTCCCACGGAGTTGTGTGCGGGGGCTTGATCTTCAGTGGTCGACTCGGCCAGAATTGGATCGAAATATGGGGGCCGGTATTTTTTCATTTGGCTTACGTGAGCGACTCGGGACTCTGCTGTAGTCGTCGTCGAGTTTGTCACACGTCGCACGTCATACGTAACTGGAGTTCTCTTGCGTGTGACTTGATATAATCCTTTGAATTTGGGAGCAAGTTTCTCCGATCCCTGAAGGATAGGCTCTTGTCGTCGTATCCATACAAAATCACCGATGTCATAAGATGCATCGCGGTGGGTCCTGTCATATATTGTTTTCCGTGTTTCCTGAGCTTGTTCAGAGTTACTGACTGCTTCGCTTCGCAGGTCTGGTAGTGCTAGAAGTCTTTCGCTGAGGTCAGAGGCTTGATGTGGGCGGACTTTCTGGTGTGGCAGCTTCGGTATGAACCCAAACAAAAGTTCGAAGGGTGAAAATCCGGTGCTTCGGTGGCGGGTTGTGTTCACAGCAAAGGCGGCCTCTTCCAGTTTAGCGACCCAGAGTGACTGATCACCGTCACACAGTTTCCGAAGTACTGTCACAAGCGTCCCGTTGGCACGTTCAACAAGTCCGTTGCTGACAGCACGGTATGCTACTGAGAAGTGCATGTTCACACCATGCATGCGCATGAAGCTCCTGAACTGGTGGGACTCGAATGACTTGGCATGGTCGGAGAGACAGTCATCACAGGCTCCGAATCTGTAGAACAGCGAATGCAAATGTTTCAGCACATCTTTTGTTGAAGTTGTAAGCACTGCTGCTGGGACGATGTATCTGGTTGCGAAGTCGATGACGTTGAGTATGTACTTCTCTTCTGTTCCTGGCATTGTGATGTGATCAAGGGCTATTGCACTGAAGGGGATCTCTGTAGTGGGCATGAAACACATTGTGCCAACTGATCGCGTGGTGGGTCGGTTGTGCGCTTGGCAAACTTGACAGCCTTCGACATACTCTTTTGTAGTAGCCGTCATCTTCGGCCACCAATAACGGTCTTTGATTTTTGTGAGGGTGCGTGACACATCCATGTGTCCATTGGCGTCATGAGCAAGTTCAAGGACCTGCTGTTGCATCTTGGCCGGGACAACAATTGTGCACAGTTCTGGATTTACAACTCTGCACAGGGTCTTGTCGACCACAACAAAGTTCTGGGTGTCCTGTCCTGACAGAAGTTTTGCACGGATGGCCTTGCATGTTTCGTCTTCAGCTTGCATTGCGATGAGTGTGTCGACCTGGGACACCGTGGCACATGAGTATCGTGAAAGCATGTCAGCCACGTGGTTCTGACGTCCGGGTCGGTGCTCAACCGAGAAGTCAAACTCAGCTAGATCGAGCAGCATTCCTGTAAAGCGTCGCGATGGCTTGAAGTTCGAGGTCAAACAGGCGACTGACCAGTTGTCAGTCAGAAGATGGAACCGTCGTCCCAATAGGTAATGTCGAAATTTCATTGTGATGGCCCAATGCACGGCCATGGCTTCCCAAACATTGCTGTGCAGTTTCCGTTCAGGTTCCGTGAGCAATCGGCTGGCATACTCAATCACAGTCTCTTTTCCGTCTTGCTTCTGGGCGAGTACTGCTCCAAGGGCTGTAGCAGATGCGTCTGTGGCGACTGTCGTAGGCGCGTCAGCATCAAAGTGGCCTAATATTGGTGGTGACGTTAGTGCAGAGCGAATAGTTTCAAAAGCTTGCTGGCACTCGGGTGTCCAC